CCTATGTCAATGTACATATTTTAAAGTCAACTTTTACATCTAAACCATAAAGTGTTATATATCTGAAACACGATGTCATAGGCCAGTTAAGGAAACAAAACAAAATTATAACACAAAGTATGCTTGCCTTCAAGGAACTTCTCCAAACTGTTGGTCCAGTGTTGGTACTGTTTAAGGGCTGTTCCCTTGTACCAAATTAAAGTACTTTCCACATTTTCAACTGGAGGGCTAGGGCGGAAACCAAGTCCTGGAAAAATGGATAATGTGAGATCAGTTATGAAACTTTCAAAATTATGACCACATAAAGGTTTGATACTGTTAAATGAAACAAGACTGTAAAAGCAAATACTGTTCATTTAACAAATATATACATCAAAAGGAATTTTAAATTAAATAACAAGTCTATGATGAACTCTTCTCTTACAATAAACAGACATTAAATTCACATGCAACTATGCGGAGGGCATACATAACTCATCACTATTTTGAGAGTTACATAACACACAAACATCCATGCCGCTGCTCAAGTAATCCAAGCAGAGAAAATTCACACAATGGTGTTTGAATAAAGAGAGGACAGCCCCCAAGCAAAACACTGACAATTTTTAATTAAATTTTAATTAGACTTTATTGATTTTATATCAATTTCAATAGAGTCCATTATTTTAAAGTAGGACATATTGCATTCATATGTGATATATGTGGGATATACCACACAGTAAAACAATTTTTACCAAAAGAACACCTGATGATGGCCACACAGGGCAAAAACGTGTTGTGAAAGTGTGGAGAAAATTAACAAAAAAAAATTCGCATTGTGGACAGAGGTATAGTTTGTGAAAAATATATTAATGCAACAGGGTGCTTAAATACAATATTATAATATGAATGTGTTAAGTAAGCCTATATCTCATTAATGTGTGTGTACACTTCCAAACATCTCACACATGTACTGGATGGAACATGACTGCAACCGAAAATAATAAAAATCCCAGTTGATATTTCACTGCCTTGCAAGGCAGTTAGTCCGTACAGTCACGCGTAATCATAAATATAAATTAAATTCTGGGAGTTCTTATTCGTAACAACAATGTGGGACTTATAGGAAAATGCCACATGTGGTGCCATTTTCAGGACTATGAAAGTTCATGCAACTTTATGATACAGACCTGGTGAAGTTCCTATGAGGGAGCCACTTAGTTTACATGTTGGAATTCTGGGATCCAAAGTCTGGAAAAATACCCAGAGGCAGACAGCAAACAGAGAAGCCAGGACTCCAAAAAAAATCAGGTAGAATAAACCAATTTTAGCTGTTAACAGAGAATGACATATCAGAATCTAATAATTAACCCTCAATTCATTTCTTTTCATGAATGAGACATTAACAGCTACATGTTAAAAGTTAATAACATCAAGAACAACAACAAAATTTGTGGGGGGTCATCTGGTGTACAATGCCAGGTATGAGGAGAAAGTCATGCAGGATAAACTCCTGGGAAACAGAAGAGTCAAACCATGATAAATAATTCTATCAAATGCTTATTATAAGGCATAAGTAATATTATTCCTTGGTTACTATGGCACCACATTCACAGGAAGCTTTCTCAAAACCAGTAGGATTGTCTCTATCTAAGTACTGCACTAACAGCACAAGATGGGTGGGAATGGAAGTCAGTATAATAAGCAAAAGGGCTTTATGAATTCTGCCTGGAACCTTTTCTTTTAATTGTTACATACTTTGTGCACGAGTAAATTTATAATTAAGTCTCAAGTGTGATGTTCAAATTAAGGATGCTTATGAGAAAAAAAAAAAAAGAATATCACACTTATTATGCTTAACGATATCCTTCAGTTTAGTCTAAAAAGACAAAATAGTTGAATGAATCACCCAGACGTCCTCATGGCGAAACACTGGATCAATTTTACATTTACAGTTATGCACATAAAGGTACAATATAAATGGTAAAATTGTCACTGTGCTTAATTAATGTAGCACCACACCATTAAGACATATGGGGGAGTGGAAGCATAGCTTTACAATTCCTAACTTCAGCACTGGAGGTGAGTGGTTAGCTTCATGTCCCAACCACTTTATCTAGAGAAAGAGGTCCTGATATTGAGTGAACAGAAGACTGGGTGGGTCCCATAGTCTCTAGAGAAGATAAATATCTCTTGTCCCTGCTAGGAATCGGATCCGGCAGTCCAGCCCGCAGCCTGTTCCTGTATCAACTGAGCCTGCATGTGCATTGTTAAAACCATTCAAATATATCACCACAGCAAATCATAGAGCCTACAATACAATTAAAAAAATGTTGCCTCAATGCAGTGCCCAACGTCAAACGCCCACACAGAGCAGAACTGCTACCATGTATGCAACACTTCCCGGGCCACCATGCTTGGCATATCTATAGCAATGAGTTTCCTCAACTTAGGGTAGTTGCACAACATTCCAGATATTGTAACTATTATACTTACGAGGCCCAACTGTCACACCATTTAGCTAAGCATGCAAACACCCAGGAATAATTTCAGCAACAACAAGAACATAAATGCCCATTACAACTGCTAACATTAATGACACAAACATTACTCACTGCCGGAAAACATATGTGGAACAATACTGACATATAATTCGACCTTATGTCGGCACCTTATATCAAAAAGTGGCATTCTGACATGTCACCTAGGCGTCCATATCCTGATACAAATCAATGGTGTTAATATTTGCAATGATTCAAATAAAGTTCTCAAGATTTTAAAGAAATAAATAGCCATTGGTACTTAAGTACGATTGTATTCTTTCACATCCATGGTATTTATATGTACCGGGGACTATATCCCTGGTGTTAAAGTGGCCTGAACGAGAAGTTAACTTCCGTCTTGTGCCCATGTGTACAAAGTAGGAAGCCTTACGTCTGCACCCTTATGTCTCTTCATTGTGTAATGGTAACCACTGTTTTGTATTAAAATTTACAGTTTCCATCGATACTAAACTAACTAAACTCAATGGAACAGAGTTCAATGTGAGAAGCTTATAACAGCAAAAATGGTCACGAAATTTCTGACTTTAATGGAATCCCAAGGTTCATAACCGTGTTTACGAGAGAATGTCACTATTTTCCAGCATGGGCCCATTTAATCTAGTCCACACTAACATCCTATTTATTTAAAAACCATTTTAATGTTATCCCCTTACACATCTAGGTCCATCAAGTTGCCTCTCTCCATGCATGCTACATGTCCAGTCCATACCTCATCATCCTCGTTAATTTTATCACCCTAACACTATCTGGTGATGAGTACAAATTATGGAAATCATCATGATACAACTTTTTCCATTCTCCTGTTACATTCATTCATTTAGTTCCAAACATTTTTCTCAAGCACTCCATTTCTATAACTCCCTGATTCTGTTCCCATTCACTGAAAACATTTCAGTTATCTTTTTGAAAATTTTACAGACCATGAAACTATGACGGCATCTCAGGAACACAATGTACAGACCTGTCACTCATTGGCGGGTTAAGGCATGCTTGGGCCCTGAAATATATAGTTTTAGAGGCCCTAGTCTACTTGTCCCGGTCTAGAAAACCAAGACTAACAGCTGTGGGAATCTGTTGCGCTGATCACGTGACACCTTCTATCCTCAAAACTTGGCACTAACTTCACCAACAAGCGGCGATCGCTCGGTCGGTATAGTTCACTTGCAGACTAAAAGCCACGGAGTTTTCAGTCTACTTGTCAGTGCATGCAGTTTCGCAGATTACTTGAACGCTAATGGGCCTACTAGGATTGGGAACTGAGATAAAATATAAAATTTACATATATTTTACTATGTAAGATGAAAAGTTAAACACTAGGTCATTGTTAATCAGGCATTGCTGTCACAATTCACCACTGACAATCATTGTAGCTCATAATTTGAAATACTGTCGCATTCACTCCCTCTCTCTCTCTCTCTCTCTCTCTATCTGTGTCCCCCCCCCACTCCTCTGGTCTGTTGGTTCTAGAGTATTCAAGCTAGAAGAATAATTTTTTAGAAGTACTCTTAATTTTTGGTTTTAATCTTTGGCATACTCCGCCTTCTTTCTATTTTGATTTTTCTGGGAGAGGCAGATGGCTGCCTTGCTCCCCGCCCCTTCCGGCACCCATGGGTCGTAATCTGACCTATAACACCCATAAATGCGTCTCACAATAAAACTGAAATCGCCCCCTTTCAAGCTAAGTAGAGTTACATGTCTAAAGCGGGCTTCCATACGCCTAAATGAGGCTTTCTCTTGCATCCACCATTAGGAAAGATGTCTCGTAATAAAACGTATCACTAGCGTAAACATGCAAATTACGCAAGAGATAACGTTCACGCTCTTTGTACACAACAGCAACTCAGAAACAAGTTCTAACTACGTACCTGTTACCGTGGCTCCTTAACGATCTCCACCTAATCATTTGGCTTGGTTCTCGTAACGGCGCTGCATAAACTACAGAGGTTATACGTTAACCCTATTATGCGTTCGTTGAAGAATGATTACGAAGACTGAGAAGAAAGGAACTGTTCGTGGCCTATGTTAAGCTAGTATTCGAGTCTTGCACTTGAGTAAATAATGTTCACACAAGTTCCTTCGGGAGTAAAGCTGCTGGACCACTGACTTCATCTAGTACAGAAATTAAGAAGGCGCGGAGCTTTATCTCCACTATCCTATTCGCGTTCATCGGTCTTTTATTAATGCATCTTGTGATTACCGTCCAGTGCAACCCATCATCGTGTTTCCAGCAGCGGATAAAGTTTTGGAACCCTTCAAGAATGGAAATCACTCTGTTCCGAGGCAGCTTCATGTATTAAGTATTTTCATAACGAATTCAAATACATTTAGCCTTAATGTACCAGGCCGTGAACTGGCAAGACGTAAACCATTATAAGACCGTCTTCTTCAGTTGTCATGGATTAGGGCCTGTGACCTGTTCTGATTCAGAATTACCTTTTTAGACATTTCGTTGGCCTCCCTAGACGGCGACTGAACTGCTAGGACATTCACAGACATATAAATTCGCGGATATACACCCAACCACCGGGCGGGATTCGGAACCGGGAGCCCAGTGTTCGACCGCCCCAAAACCAAATGCGCCCTATACTATGCCTCCAAAATGACAATGTTTTATTTTACATACCATACCATAATAAACGTTGAAGCCCATCTATTCTAAGAATCAGGGTACATCTTGTATGCACAACTCTGGGGGGCACGCGGTAGCGTAGTTGGTTGAGGCACTATGCTACAAGCCGGAAGGTTCCGGATTCGATTCCCGAAGAGGTGGATTTTTTCAATTGACCTAATCCTTCCAGCCGCAATGTGATCCTGGCGTCGACTCAGCCTCTAATAGAAATGAGTACCAGGAACTTTCCTGTGGGGTAAAGGGTGGCCGACGCGTAAGGCTGACAACCTTACCGCCATCTGTGAGCCGATTGTCTAGATAATGTGGGCCTCAACGTCTCACAACCCTATGGTCCTCCATGGTCTGTGTACCCTTGTACACTACCCTTCGGAAGAATAATTCTGTGTAGTTCTGAATTTCCCAATAACATGAATACTGGAAAACTTCCTAATGAAGACTTAACGGTCTTCGTCATTAACTGGCGATGATTCAACCTCGTTCCCGGAGTAAAGTTGCAAGCTACCGTACATATGGATCTGGAAAATGCGCGCTTATGACTACAGGCGCTCCGTATACCAATATTAAATTACTTTGTTATATGTCACAAATAAATGTGAGACGAATGCGTGTTTGTTAAGAGCTAAGTTGTGTACGCGTCTATCATTTTCTTCGGCGACTGACTGAGTAGGTCCTTGGGAGTTATTCTTGACTGCACTTATGACGACAGGTCTGCGGGGTGGGCTATCTTACTGACGATGCTAGAAGTTCTCTTCCATTAAGGATTAAATTATTAAACAATATAAGGCATAAATATAGAATCGTGTGATTCCTTACGTATTTCGCCCTGCATTAAGCGTAATATTCCCGGTTATGCTGAAGCATCCTTCAAATTCAGTCGTGAGTGCAACATGCTGATAACATTTTGGGCTGAGCTGAATGTAACTGCTTGGTGGGAAGGGCAGTGTTGTTCCCCACGTATATGTGATTACGATTCAGTCCGGCGGAAAAAAGAATTAAAGGTAGAGCAAACATATTGAAATTTTCCCGGAAAAACTGTAATTTACATAATTCATTACACAAACTTTTAACATGAAAAGGGCATATATTTGTACACTGGACGCCTGAATTTTCAAAGCTGTTCAATCTTAATAGTCTGGCT